TTTCAGTGCGTTTCAATGGGGTTTTTATTTTCACTTTACAATGTTTTCACTTAATGGCGATTTTCCTGGAACGGATTATCGTCGTTAAGCGAGGCACCACTGTATTTAGATTTCTACCCTGCCCATCTGGACCAAAGGTCTACTCTGGGTGGCATTACAAATTTAAAAAACAGCTAGATGACTCAACATATGCTAGATTCTTGATAGTCCCTGCTGGTCTCTCATCCAAGTACTAACCAGGCTGGCCCTGGTAAAATCAGACTATCTGGTGCGTTCAGGACAGTATGGTGATAATCTTGTTCTTTGAATCTGTTTAATCTTTTCTTTTTATTTTAAATAATCTGTAATGTATGATTAGAGTTGTCCTGTGTATAGGGCCAGAAAAATTACTAGTCTGAACAGAAGAAAGATGACCTATTTGCCTTTCGGGTTCTGTGGCCTTTGTCTTAAACTCAGGATCAGGGCAGGATGAGTCACTTGATTTTGCTGGTGTTATACGTGACTCAGACATCTTATTTATCTATTTTATTTATTTATTTGACTTCTATAGTGCCCATCTGGCTGCCAGAACCACTCCGAGCAGTTTACAGCTAAAAACCAGATAAACAATAATATGAAACAATAAACACAAAAACAATCAAATTCAAAATTAAATATAATATAAACATAAACTAGCAACATAAGTAATTAAAAAGAAAAATGGATAATTTAAAGGCAAGATAGTGGAACAGGTAGTATAAAATCCTGAAACAACCACTGTGTTAGGATGTTAAATACTTCAGGAAAGCCTGCTTGAAAAGCCATGTTTTCAGTGATTGTTTAGTTTCCCAGTGAAAGGGGCAGGCAAATTTCAGGTGGGAGGTTGTTCCAAAGGTAAGGAGTGACCGCCATGAAGGCCCAATTTTTGGCCTCTCTTGGGATCAGTGTTCTCAACTGCCCTGCTTGAGAAGATAATGTAAGATGGACAGATCTCATTGGAAAGAGGTGTTCTGCCAGGTATTGAGGTCCCAAACCATTTAGGACTTTGTAAGTCAGCATCATCACCTTGCAGCTGGCACAGAAACTGACAGTAGCCAGTGGAAGGTGACACTTGAGATGTGCTTGATCAGTTTTCTGCAGGACTGCCTGTAGCTGGTTGGCTACCACTGTCTCCACTATCTTGCTTAAGAAAGGCACACTGGCAAAGGGTCTGTAGTTGTTAATATAATCCACCACCAAATTAGATTTTTGTGAATGGACCTGATGAGGTTTAAGTTCCATATCTGTGGAACTTAATCCAGATACTTGATGAGCACCTTGCCTTGAACCAAGGTACTAGAGGGTATCTCCCACTCTACTTCAGCTTCCAAACATTGCAGGCAAACAATCAATAAGAAGCTTCAGCAAGGAGGAAGAGTCTTTATCTTTGGGCCAAAGCATTGAACCTTAAAAGTTTTACACTTTAAGGTAGTGGCAATGGAGCCAAGGAGGTGCAGCATAGGTGAAGACTTCCACTTCACCAGGCTTCCTCACTTGAAGCAGCTTTCCATTGTGCTAGAGTAATCAGCCTGCTTCACCTGCTGTATCCTTGTGATGGACAGATCAAGCCATTTGCAGGTGCAGGAGGGACAGATCAGTCCAACTCTCTTTTCCCAGCATGTTTGGTTTCATGTAGACGGAGGGGATAGCCTTCCATTGCTGTGAGTTGGAAAATACAGGATAGTTTCTTTTTTAATAAAGGAGTGCAGCATGGTAGCAGGCAAAAGACGGAGTGACTGTTCTTCGACGTGGTCTCTATGAATCCACACTAGTGGGTTAAGACAGTGCCTGCGCTGGCCTCTCGGAATCTTCTAGAGCTATAGGAAAAAGTAACAAAGTTTGAGTTGCCCTGTATTGCGCATGCTCCGCCCGCCAAACCCCAGTTCCATTTTTTCTGCCAGTGGAGTTGGAACCTCTCAGTTAGAGCTGTGTTAAAAACAATTTATTTCTGCATCGTGTATTGACCTGGAATTGGCTTTCGATTTCCCTATCTCTGTTGCCCTGATTATGGACCGTATTGACTTCTCTTCTGCCTCTGGCGATCGTGCAAGTACCTAAATTGCTCTTAATTGCTGCCTATTTACCGCCCGCTGAGGCGCCATGCGCCTACCGGACTTGTTCTATTATCACTTCAACTGCTACCGGGCTTGTTCTATTATCGCCTCAACTGCTTGTTTGGCTTATGTCACATAAAAGAGGCCCATTTAGCTGACCGTATTGACTTCTCTTCTGCCTCTGGCGATCGTGCAAGTACCTAAATTGCTCTTAATTGCTGCCTATTTACCGCCCGCTGAGGCGCCATGCGCCTACCGGACTTGTTCTATTATCACTTCAACTGCTACCGGGCTTGTTCTATTATCGCCTCAACTGCTTGTTTGGCTTATGTCACATAAAAGAGGCCCATTTAGCTACTGTTCGTCCTGCTCTAGGAAACTTCCCTTCTCAGACGGACATTCTCTGTGCGTTTTTTGTTTGGGGAAGACCCATTTAACTACCCACTGTAAACACTGCAAGGAATTCACTAAAGCTACCCTCAAGGCTCACCAACAATGCCTAAAATACTTTTTGTGGAATCAAACCCTATCTGCTTCACAACCATCGGACATGGAGTCTACATCCTCGGTTCGTTCTGAAGTCAGGGTGGTTTCTCCACCTCCTCCTCAGCCTTCTAAGGAGAAGCCTAAGGAAAAGCCTAAGGAAAAGCGGGCAACCAAGAAAGCACTTACCAGTTCGTCTGCTCCATGGACGTCCTCTGCTCCATCGACATCCCAGGAGCTGAAACAGAAGAAGACTGTGGTTAAACCAAAAACTTAAGTCCAAGGAACTCAACTTGGTCGTGCCTCCAGTCTCAACATCTCTTCCTTCACCCATACTAGAAGACTCGTCTCGGGACCGAGATTCAACGTCGGAAATGGGCACCTCTTTACCACCTCGACAGGAACCTCCTGTCGACATCGAGAGGTCGCCAGCTGCTAGCCAGCTAGCACAAGCCATTGCTGGTATAGCTAATGCCCCTACTAGCCCTGTTTTAACCAGGTGGGTGCCTCGATCCCAATCTTCAGCATCGGGATCTCTTGGCTCCAAGTCTCCTCCTCCACCTCGAGGGAGACCAGAGAAACCTTTGGATGTTCC